AAAAATCTTTAATGAGTACATTTTTGAAAATGGACAACTCATGGTACTATTTTTAAAAATTGACACATTAAAAATGGTATTTTTGAAATTCTCTCTTAAATATGTATAATGAACTACATCACGATAAAAATATTTGTAATAGTATACGAACGAAATACATTTATAGAAAATAGATAATACTGTTATTAATATAATAATAAAAATTTGTTAATATATCAAAAATTTAAAATAGATGATACGGTAAGTCTAAAATGTTATATGTAGTTGAGCTTAAATTTGTAGAATATTTATTAATGAGTTTATGATATAAAATTAATGAGAATACGTAGAGATTACCACCATGACATACGTAGAGATTATTTCTACCGGAAAAATATTTTCAAAAATGTTTAATATGTAGTATCTTTGTATTGTTACGTTTGTATTGTATAGTTTTACTTATTATCATTTACAAATAATTTTCTATTGAAAATTTAGCAAATAACATTTCTCCCGCGATTTCTCGGGTTTTGAGTCCTACTGTGCATAACAATCAACAATCTAGCACTTACTCAAACACAAAATTAAGAAAAAACGTTTTTTTCATACTCCATTTTGTTGTTTTAGTCAAAAGCAAAGTGGCATAAATGAAGAGTGCATCTCCAACGTGGCACGTTTGATTAAATGATTTTTGAGTATGACATATTCTCAATTGGCCCTAAAAATATTTTACACGAAGTTTAGTTGGATATTTTTCAGAGGTTTTCTCTAGAAGGAATTACCGCACACGAAGAAGAGAAGCAAAATACAAAGAAAGCTGTATTATATCAAGTGGCCCAGAAAAACATTAGTATGGGCCTAAATAATAAGTATTCGATTAATATGCTACGTTGGTGGCCCAGCAACTGTTCTTATTATCATCATAATCCTTAATTGACAATTCTTGGAAGGCCGGTTCGATCGAAACCGGTCGAATTTTGTTCCGATCCGATTTTGATTTGAAATCCTTTAAAAGACGATTCTTAAGAAAAGCCATAAAGCAATCTGTAACAAGAGAAGAAGAAGAAAATGCTGGAGAATCACATTCTTTGAAGATCAGTCATCTTTTTTTCTCAGGTAAAGAAGTTCAGATCATGCAATGGTTTCGGATTCATCTGATTTGATAAATAGTCTTAAAAATCTAATCTTGGTGGTGGTGGTGTTGAATTCTTCTTCTCTAGAAAGATTAGCCATTTGAGCATAAATGGAAGATGTAAAAACTAGAGTTGCTTTTGTCCTGATCGATGGCTTGGGAGATGTATCAATACCGAGATTGGGCTATAAAACTCCTCTACAAGCAGCAAAGATCCCTAACCTAGACGCGATCGCATCTGCCGGAATCAATGGTCTGATGGATCCGGTGGAAGTTGGATTGGGCTGCGGTAGCGACACGGCTCACCTCTCTCTCATGGGTTATGACCCGAGAGTGTATTACAGAGGACGTGGTGCGTTTGAGTCCATGGGTGCAGGATTAGCAATGTCACCCGGTGATATTGCTTTCAAGGTGTCTGCTTTATTCTTCTTCTCTTGAATACTTTTGTCATTTATGGGTTTGACATTGTCATGATTATTTCAATTGTGCAGTCTAATTTTGCAACATTGGATGAGAAATCTGGAATTGTAGTTAGTAGGAGAGCCGATCGGCATTTCGAAGAAGAAGGGCCTATACTTTGTGCAGCTCTTGATGGAATGAAGCTTCCTTCTTTCCCTGAGTATGAAGTGAGAGTCAGGTACAAAATGTTTCTCTTACTCTTTATGATACCTATATTGGGTTTTGGCCTAAAGCAAGTTTTATCTACAGATATGCAACGGAACATAGATGTGGCGTGGTCGTAAAAGGTCCAAAACTTAGTGGGAATATATCTGGAACAGACCCGTTGAAGGATAATCGTTTGCTTCTTGAAGCTAGACCTCTGGATGAATCAGAAGAAGCCAATCACACAGCTAAAGTCGTTAACGAATTATCAAGGGAGATATCACGCATTCTTGTTTCCCACCCTGTTAATGAAAAGAGAGTTGCCCAAGGCAAGAATATCGCCAATCTCGTCCTTCTACGAGGCTGTGGCATTCGAATCGAGGTCTGTCTTTCAGTACTTGACTGCCTCTTACAAATGGTCCTAACGAATCTAATTTCTCCCTTACGTATCTGTTAACGGGTTTATGTTATATAAAGGTTCCTCCTTTTCAAAAGAGGCACGGCTTGTGGCCGTGTATGGTAGCACCAACAAAGATTATAGCTGGACTTGGTATGTCCCTCGGTATTGACATCCTAGAAGCTCCGGGGGCCACTGGAGATTACCGTACGCTTCTCACATCAAAAGCAATTGTTATAGCAAATGCGCTCTCGGCCCCTTTGAATCCCTCTCCAAATGTCTTTGTACCGGGAGAGGACAAGCCTAAACCGGGAAGGTCAGATGGTTACGATTTCGGGTTCCTTCACATAAAGGTGAAAACGTTTTTCTGTCTTGTAACAAAAGCGTAAAAGTTCCCATTCTGTTTTTTTTTTAATTATTATTTTTGCAGGCTATAGACGATGCAGGTCATGACAAGGCGACATTGTTCAAAGTTCGAGGCTTGGAAGCTGTGGATACCGCGATACGTCAGCTTGCTAAGCTTCTATGGCAAGCTGAAACTTCTACAAATTACAAGTATTTCTTGTGTGTGACTGGTGATCATTCTACTCCAGTTGAGTATGGAGACCACAGCTTCGAGCCCGTCCCATTCACAATCTGCCGGTTAAGAGACTTTGTGGGTGCGGTTGGAGGAGAATCAGCTCTATTAGAGACGTCTTTAGACTCTTTTCCACTTCCAAAAGTTGTGGAATCCGATGAATATATCACTGGGAAAGAGGAAGATGGTGGGAGGAGGGAAGCTCCTCTGGCGATTGGTGGAGATTCAGTTGCAGAGTTGAATGAGATCGCAGCTGCAAGAGGATCTCTTGGCCGTTTCCATGGCGGTGAAATGATGGGAATCATCACCAAGTTCCTTAAGCTAGATATATGAGTTTTCGTAAATTTTGCATTTTGGTTGTTGAAGATTTGGGTTTTGGGAAGTGTAATAAATGATCAAACTCTGACAATCTAGGTTTAGTTTTGTCCTTTAAACTCAAACTCTGCCGGACGGACGGGTTTTGTTAGAAAAATTGTCGAAACCAGTTTACAATTTTAGTTTGATTTTTCAGTTCAAGTATTCTGTGAGTGTTAAAAATAAGTTCTAACGAGGTGACGAGAGTTGTTAAGCTTTGCATACACTGTACATAAAATAACTAGTACAAGCCTTCAATTTTCGTAACACAAACCTAGTTTTCATAACAAATTGGTGATCCAAATAAAGAGTTATCGGTGATCACGACAAAACCAAAGCACAAGGAAGACCATTTCTCACCTCTTTTGGAAATTCAGAGTCTTAACCGAGAAAGCATAGATAGAGATAAAAAGGAAAGAGAAGGCGATGAGGACAAGTGAGACAACCAACAAGAAGTCGTGTTCATAACCATAATAATTTTTCATGAACTCAACAACCGTCTCACCTGTATCAAGCTTTGTCTCTACATCTCCGTATTGAGATATGGTCATTCCGTATAATCCCCACCACGCTGGATTCACATACGGGAACCATCTCAACCACACCGGCATTCTCTGCAAGATATCCATTTAATTTTGAGCATTTTTTGTACTATATTACTAAGAAGGTACATCTCTCACCTCCGAACCAAAGCTAATTTTCCAGAACTTGGAGCCACCAAATAAATTTATTATCGTTCAAGAGAAAGATGCATCCATCTAGATTGATTCCTATTCGCGACTAATTATACGGTAATAACCATTGAACTACCATCATTTGGTTAATTGTGAGCATTCTTGTTACTAAATTTAGGAAGAGTGTAGGCTTGGTTACTTACAGGACGAGGAATGGTGAATCCTGAAAAGACGTTCAACGATGTGGACATGATACCATTGAGTATCGCAGCGGTTTCTTGATTAGAACTTATGGCAGTGAGCATGATACCGGTGTAGATATAGTATAGAACGGTGATGAAGGTAAAATATAAGTTTAAGAAAAACTTGGTAGCAGTCCATTCATATCCAATCATCGAATAGACGATAACTCCATAGATGCAAACTTGAGCCATTGTATATGGAATCTCTATTAACACCTTGAAAATAATTGAGTTTAGAAACCAAAACGTATTATAAATCGGTACATAGAATTGTAAGTACCTGTGAAAATGCATAGGGTAGAGCGGAGTACATTCCAGCAACGGTCTCTCGGTAAAAAACAGTACGTTCGGCTATCGCGACAGGACGCACAGTTGCCGAACTTTGTGAGCCTAAGAAGTTAAGAATTGTCGACATTGCGCCTACGTTATTGAATATATCTTGTCTAGTTCCCCTTCGTTTGCCGAGGCTCCAGAAGATGACTCCATTCATGATTCCAACCGCAGCCGCGAAACAGAGACGCACAGCATTGTAAGGAACGTTTCTCCAATATGATTTGTATTGCTTCCACATGCAAGCTTGGAACTGAACGAGATAGGATTGTGAATACTTTGTTGAGAAATGAATGTCTTGTGCATGAGGAGATCCCTTGTTCAGTTCTTCTATCAGATCTTTGTTTCTCCTGCATGCACACAATAAATAATTGTGAGATTAATTTACTTTGTTAAATTAATGTTTCTATAAATGCTTACCTGTATAAATTTGAGTTTTTGTATAGTTGAGCAAATCTGACACCAAGAACATCTTCTTGTGCCCTTGTTGTCACTTCAAGAGCCCATGTTGCAGGATTGTAACCTTTCTTGATTTTTCCCACTCCTCTAATTCCCTAAAAACATTTAGTGATTTAAGTTATTGTGAGGAATGGGATGGTATTGAGCGGATAATACATTTCTTGGTTTTTCTTTCTTACCTCAAAGTATTCAATTAGTTGTGAGGAATGGTGGCCAATTGGACCCACATAGATCTCTTCTCCTCCTCTCGTCAACAATAAAAGCTAACAAAATGAAATTTAGTTGTATAGCTAATGGTAGAAGTGGTAATAGCATAAAGAAAAATAATTTTGAGTTACCTCATCAAAGGATTCAAAAATATCGATACTCGGCTGGTGGATGGTACATACAACAGTTCTTCCAGTGTCAACAGTGTTTCTAACGGTCCTCATGACAATCGCGGCAGCTCTTGCATCCAAGCCAGATGTTGGCTCATCCATAAAAAGAATAGAAGGATTGGCCACAAGCTCTACCGCGATTGTCATTCTCTTTCTTTGCTCATTCGAAAGCCCACTAACTCCCACATATCCGACCAACATCTCTCTTAGTGCTTCTAACTCTATTAATTCCATGACCTCTTCAATAAAAAGCTGCTCATTTCTATTAATTATATTGGTTTCTTAAAATCTTATATATAATGGTTATTTTATCAACATAGACTAAGAAGCCAAACCTCTCTAGTATGAGCGTCGATGTTAGGGGGTAACCTCAACCATGCAGAATAGAGAAGGGACTCATAGACTGTTAATAGAGGGGAATGGATGTCAAATTGTTCACAATATCCCGAAACACGCGCAAAGCTGTTCTGCTTTTTAGGAAACCCAGAGACATTGATATCCCCTTGAATGTATCCAGTGTTCTTGCGCCCGGCTAAAACATCCATCAATGTAGTCTTTCCTGCTCCACTCATCCCCATAAGTGCAGTAAGAACTCCCGGTCTAAAAGCACCGCTTACTTCATTCAATAGTATTAGTTTTTCGTCTTTTAAGCCTTTTTCTTTCACCGCCTGCAAAATAATCTTCTTGAATTAGTTTCTCGCCCAAATACATTACTCTTATAGAAGACTCACCTATACCTTTGGAGTATCAACAGAATATGTGATATTGTTGAACGTGATGAATAGAGGCTTGAAAGGTATACGCAGCTTTTTGTCGCTGCAAGTTCTCGTTGTCCCCATTCCTAAAAAATTCAAGCCATGTCTGGGATAAAAAATTTGTCAAAGGAAAGTAAAGTGAGAGACATAATAGGCCTTATACCAAATAATGGTTGTGTCCTGGTTCTTGGGTAGCCTTGGCCCTTTAGCATATTGTTGCTAGTAGCTTCTTCGCATTCATCGGCTAAAACCGCAACCTTGGATACTCCAAATTCTACAAGAGTATTTTTTTTTTTTTTAAATATAGTGGATGTTATTGGTGTTTATTAAGTCCTGGATGCAAAAAGAGGAAGTGAAGACACTCACGTTTAAGAAAAGCCAGAGCCAAAGATGTAATAATGTTGTACAAGATTGTGGATATGATCAATGCTAAAATTCCAATCCAATACCAGTAAGTTCCTACAAAAAATCCACGCGATTTCAAGATGGCTACTCCAAGATCCTGCAAAATCATACACAACATTGTGAAGTTTGGATATTTCCGCACAATTTAAAGTTTGTAACTAAAGGAAAGATTTTAAATAAATTACATGTTTCCAGGATTTGCTCTGGAATTCATTGACCGAAATAGCTGTCTGGATATACATCAATGGTGATGTCCAATACGCCCAGGTTAACCATTCATGAACTTGACCTACACAATTACAGAATTTTCAACACTAAATAATTCATGGATTATACGCATAAAGTAACAACCACATTAAGACTTACATCGGGATAACACATATCCATTAAAAGTCATCAGCCATATCACAATAAGACATCCCATTGTGTTTGCAACCACATGATTTCGAGTCACTGAAGCAATACACCGAAAAAGTCCATACGACATTTGTCCGCACAATGCTAGAATCAAGTAATGTTTAAGGATCCTGTAGTAACAAAAACACATAAACACACACATATATATATATATCCTTAATGGTATACATAGCAAAGAAAAATTACGGAATGTTAAAAAATAAGCTTACGATGAGATGGTTAAGTCATATCCAATGACGAAATAAGTTATTAAAACCACTATGAAGACCTCTACGAAGGATATAGGAAAGTTAACGACAGAGGCTGGTAAAGAAAAAGCCCAGGACGGGTAAAAGCTGAAACCGCGTTGCTTGTAGAACACTGGAAGCTTATCAATAGTCATTGGCAGTTCAAAAAACCCGGAGAACAAAACCATCTGCACTTCCAAATAGATAGCTCCCATGTAGATGATTCCATCCTCTAACGTGCTGTGGTATTGTTTTTGTTGAGAAAACACAATTGCGATTATAGTCCCATTGAGTAAGAGCTGAAATGACTTGAGGGCAAAGATTCTAAAGTTCCTATTCATTAGAATATATTCTCGTTCTATGCAAGCCTTTAGTAGCTCCAACTTGCTAGCTCCATATGTAGTCCTTGCCAAGGCTGCTCTGTGATTTTTCCATCGATCAAATGGGGTTGCAAGTTGAGACCGCACTGCATTTCTCAAATGACACCTTCTGAAGCCTTCCTCAAATCCTCTTGCCGATACATAATGATATGGCAACTCTAAATTAGCCCAATATTGTTCTTGGTCTTTTCTCGACAAGATCTAATTAAAATGTATAACCTTCATCAGTGTGACACAAAATAATGAATATGTTTTCTTGAAAAGCAAAAATGTTATAGAAAACTCACTTCTTGTAAGTAATCAGCAATTCCTTTTCTCTCGGGACATTTAAAACCCATAGATTCAAATAATTCAAGGACATTTTCCCGAGGGCCTTGGTAAATTATTCGGCCTTCTCCAAGAATTATGACATCGTCAAAGAGCTCGAATGTCTCTGGAGGAGGCTGGAGAAGAGAGATAAGAGCGGTTTTATCGAACACATGGATCATTTGCTTGATGCACTTGACAATCTGATATGTTGTTGAGCTGTCCAAACCATCTGATATGTTGTCCATGAATAAAGCTCCAACTGGTCCGACCAACATCTCACCTACACAAACATCAAATGACTTTGAGAACACAATTTATTTTCGACCCAAATACTATTACGAATTTCCACATTAGTACCAGTTGTTACGCGTTTCTTTTGTCCACCAGAGATGCCTCTTTTCATATGATCCCCAACTATCATATCAGCACATATGTCAAGTCCTAATACCTTTAAAACATAATCTGTGACCACATTCTCTTTGTGTCCTTTCAAAACCGACGCCTGTAAAGAAGATCACAACATTATAAACATCAAGTTTCCTTTTTAAACATTGTTCGAATTGGTAAATGACTCGACGTGTAGGTAGGGGCGGATCAAAGATTTTTTTTGTTTTTACTTGTTACCTTCATTAGTGCATCGAGGTAAGGATCTGGCTTGATATTGAAGTCTTTCTCCCGTCTCAGTAACTCCGCAAGCATATCTTTTCTTATCCATCAATGTCAATTACTAATTTGGAGAAGTCCTTATAGAATGAAAGGGGATAATGGTTCATATGCATACCATAGCGTGTGCCAACTCCTTGGCATTTTGCGGAAAAATTTAATGTTTCTCGAACTGTTAGTCGCGGCAAGTGAACATCGTATTGGCCAATGTAGGCGGCAGTTCTTTCAGGCACAAACTCATGTAGTTCATGCCCATTGTACGTCACTTTCCCTGTACACTAACAATTAAAAAAACACAATCTTATCATTGTTACAAATAATTTCTATCTAGCCAATCAATGTATACTTTGATGAATATGTTTACTTTTAGTCCACTCTCTATCTTTCCAGACAATGCTTGAAGTAGGGTCGACTTTCCAGAGCCCGGTGGTCCCAAAAGTAGAGTCAGCCTTTAGCAAGGAGTAAAGAAATGAGAATTTATGCATGTTGCAACACTACTAATATCTTTGATCATAAAATATGTTAACAACAAAAAGGCAAAAAAGTAGTTGAAGAACCTGCCGGGCTTGATCATCCCGCTCACATTCTTTAGAATGGACATTCTCTTTCTTTTCATCCGATGAACTCCAATTTTATCTCCAACACTCTTTTCATAACAGAAATTAGACAAATAGGTTAAGAAACTGGATTTGTTACTGTACAAGAAACCTCATGAGGAACGAAATGTTATTATACTTTTATAACGCTGACGAGTGAGTTGATGACTGTAGGTACAGCTCCACTTCCCACGTATGCTTCCGCAGTCACGTTCAGATCCTCAAACCGGACTTCTATCGTTGGGAGATTCAAAGAAACTCTAATGACACAGTAAAGACAGTTTTAAATTCTAAAAGATTGACAATCTTACTTAGTAGTACTTGAAATGTTTTACGA